TTTATTTTTTTATAAATTATATCATGATAATCGTCTCTTTAATACCGTAAAAATGAACCCAATATCGAATATTATTGAATTTAATAATATTATTAAATATGATAAATATGTACTACTGTTTTTTAGTATCTTAATTTTTTGTTTTCTATTTTTCAATTTACACCCTAATCTATCTATATACTACATTATTTATTATTGTTGTTGAATTTTAAATGTCATCTATGCATTATTTACAAGTTTCTAAACCCCCACCCCCATCATCCCCTTCATTTCCGACTTCCCCCACAATTCTCTCCCCACTACCTTGAATTATTGTCCATGTTCTGTTGTCCATAAAGCAATCGGCTAAAAGGAAAACTATATAACTCTCAATTTTGGGATGAAATCGTCATTCCAGATACAAATTTTGAAACCAAAAGAAAGAAAAAGGACATCCACCCCCCTCCAACCTTTTTCTTCCCCCATGGAAATCACTTTATCCACCATCGTCACTAAACCATAATCATGTTCCAAAACGACGGTCTTGAAAGCCCATCCCCACACCCGCGTACACCAGACACATTCTCACAACAGACCTCTATTCTAATCCACCGTTTCACTCATTAAAAGACTTGCAGGTTCACACATATCTTTATTTAAATAGTTGTATTAATCTTTTGTTTCTGTTTGCAACAAAATTTTATATTTGACTGCAACATATTCCAGGAACAATGTTATTTCTGACAAGCTCTTGTTGATTTTGATGACATGGTGAGAAGCCAATAAACTTTGCAGACATCAAAACTGATACCAATGAAGTCCCAAACAGGAAAACTCTTGGACATTGAATTTTGATTATTTGCAGATTATCTAGAATAAGCGAGGGAGAGCTTCTTGGGATGAAAGCATAGAGAAATGATTTCAATAGGTTCAACATCATGATTGTTGGTCAATCTGATATTATAAGATCGTACAATCTACACTTAATATTCACTCATCAACTATTTTATGTTTTCAAGACGATGTATGTTAAAGAGGCTAATCCAACATTTTGTGGAAGCAATAAATTGCTTAGACTCATAAAGTAATTTCAATATTCAATACATCATGTTCTTTTATATAGTTTTATTTCGATAAGTTCGCCTTATAGTTTTTTCTTGTTTGAAAAGTATAATACTATGATATTTTTAATGTTTACAAATACCATTAGATCTTTTAAAGATGGGATGAAGACTAAAGTTGTCAAAACAAAGTCCGCAAATTCTTTTGAAATTTAAAGATGAACTATTTTTTCAAAAAAAACTCCTATTTGATGGATGATTTTTATAGGCTTCAATCTTTGTATTCCTCATTTAGTTATCAAAATATCATTTTACTTGGAAACCACGTCATAATTTAAAAGGTAGAACATTTTATAAATAATTAATTATTTTTATTTACAAGAAAGTTTAATATTTAGTTGCATTGCAGCGGGTACAAAAGTAGTACATATACATATATACATACACATATACAAGGGTATATTCAAGGGATAACTGATTAGTTTGTGATAACTATGAGATTCAATCTCAACCACAAATCAATTGATAAGTTGGGAAACTAATATTTTTGGTAATTTGACTTGAAATTATAATTAAAGGGTGTTTTAGGTATTTTCAATTTTTTATTTCTCCTCTCTCTCTCTCTCTCCTACCTCCGGCCTCCGACAAACACCATGTGATACCCAAAACACACCAAGTAAACTTTGTTACCACTGCGATATCAATTGTTGTACCACTGTGATACCAGGTGTTGGGAATGGTCACATGTGGGTGTTTAGTGGTCGATCATCAGAGATGGCGTCTTGGTCAGACAAGATGACCAGAGTAGGTCACGGGAGTGGTGGTGGGTGCGAGAGAAGGCCATCGGATTTGGTCCGTGTGTGTGTATATATATATATTAAAATAATTAAAGTAATTAAAGTAAATTAGAATATTAAACTAATTATAGTAAATTGAATAATCAACACAATTTACTAATTTAACCTTTGTTTTATTTTAGTAAATAATATTAATTATCTAAACTGATTGGCTCATATTAGACCTCACAAATACCAAAAACTATCTAGTTCTCATTTAATTAGCCCTTATATATATATATATATATATATATATACACACACACACATACATATATGGACAGTAATCAAATGAGAACTAAAAGAAGGTTGTGAACCGTGAAAACCAATCTAAACCATTAACTAATTTTAATCTATGATCCTTAAAGGCAATGCCAATTTTGATATAATTTAAAACTTCATGATTTATTATGGAAAATTGAATCTGAAAGAACATACTGGGTATTTGAAAAATATGATCTGTAGGATTGACGAAAAGCTCCATTTGACGGTCTGTCCATAAACCTCTAAAACAGAAAATGATCGGTCTACTCCTAAATCAGAAGACGATTGCTTTCGAGTTCTGGGTTGGATGGTGATAAGGTATGTAGAGTACAAGCTATGGTAGTTTTGATTTCATGTGATAGAATGACATAAGTATGAACATTATATTTGATTTTCATGAAGTGAAATAAATCTTTATAAAAATTATGTTTTATTTCATGAGGTGAATCTATGTTTCATCTAATGAATATGTTTATTTCAGCTAATGAATATGTGTGTTTGATCTTGTGAATCTTGTTACTAAAATGATGATTATGCCCAATTAAAAAGGGGCTTTCAATTAAAACCATATAATCAAAACCAAATTAAGGCTTAGACCGATCATCACGGTTTTCAACTTTTTTTGTGATTCTCATTTGATTAAACTCCTATACACACACATAATTATATAAAATTAAATATTAATATATTTTTCAGAATATTATCTTATATATTGTATAACATATTTTAATTAGTATTTAATTTTGTTTTCATATTCATCAACTAAAAAACGATATGGTCTTGTTAAAATAAATATAACAAACATAAATATTGTCTTTAGATTTTTATATTATTATATAAAACAATATCACAATGTTTATTATAACAAGTTATATATAAAATAAAATTTATATGTTTAAACTTATTTTACTTATATGTTGATGTTTAACAATATTATTGTAGTTCATAATAACTTTTTACCATTTATCCATTACATGTTTCATTACCAGCTGTCTTAATAGTTAAGGTATGGATATGGATTATAATTTTATGACATGAATAATTACATAGTTCATTGCCCACTATTTTAAATGGTTGGATAATAGATTAACCTTTACCCTACCTATTGGCTATTGCCAAACATACCCATAAACACACTTTTGAGATAGAAGATTGAAGATCAATTTCTATTATAGTAGTTAAAACTGTAAACCCAATGCAAAATCAATTTTAAAACAAAATCATGATAAAATGTATTTTTAAGTGTATTTCATTGCTCCAATTACATATTTTAAACTGTCTTCGAATAACATTTTTATATATTTGTAAAAGAAATCTTCCAAAGATATTTTTAATATTTTAAAAATCAAATTTAAAAAAAAAAAACAAGGACCGATTTTAGGCCCGGCCAAGGACCGGTCGCGGGTAACCTAGACTGGGCTATGGTTTTTCAACCGGCACTGGGACTGGTTTATGACCACCTCTAGTGGCAACTATATAGCCTTGATGCATCCGCCCATTTATATGTGATGTAAGGATAGCTTATTTCAACAACCCCGACGACAACTATCGCTAAATAAGTTACTTACCTACGACTGCAATTTATTTATACAAAACTTTATGCATGCTTCACCATACTTATTTTTGAAATGTGCAAGGACTAAGCATTGACGATCGTCCCACCTGGAAGAAAAAATTGAAACATCACAACCCCAAGAATACAGCTAAATCGAACCAAACTAAATCAAATGACCCTGTAAGCCCTACTACAGATAGCCAAACACTGGGGACTGGACCAACTGGGACCGATTACAGCCCCACGGTCTTGGACTAGTTACAAGGTTTCTAGATTTTCAAGGTCTGGCCCCGGGTCGAGACTGGTTATGCATACGGACGGATTTTTCAAGCTTTTACAAATTATGATACAAGTTTTTCAAGAAAATGTAATATTTAAAATGTATTTTAATGCTCAATTTTCAATAATGCCAAGTATAAAAACTTGTATATTTTGTGTAAAAATTATATTCTCTCTTTTAAAAACCAAATCGTGCCCAAGACCGGATTTGGAACTGGTTACGAGGGACCAGGACTAGGACCGGTTGCCGGGACTAGAAACAGTCCTCGGATTTTTGGTCAGGACCAGGACAAAGACCAACTGGCCCGGTTACACACTAACCAATATGGGACCAAGACTGACTTGGAACCAGCTTGGCCTCAGACAGATTTTTGGCCATTTCTAGTCCTAACACAATGTAGGGTCTGAAATACCTTACATCTATCCCAAAGGATAGAGAGGCTTTTTCCGTAAACAAAAAAACTAAAAGTAAGATTATACCATTAGGATGGAGAACTTGGCCCGTAACATAGGAAGAGTCCTCTGATGCTAGGAACACATAAGATGGGGCAATCTCAAAAGGTTGACCTGCTCTACCCATAGGCACCTGTGACCCAAATGTTGGTGTATCCTGCTCGTCCCTGGATGCAGGTTGCAGCGGAGTCCACACAGGGCCAGGGGCCACACCATTGACTCGAATCCCCTTGTCAACGAGCATTAGTGCCAGACCCCTTGTGAAGGACACGATGGCTCCCTTCGTTGAACTATAGTCGAGCCACTTTGGGCTACCTGTGTATGCCAACACCGATGTCGAGTTTATGATGCTGCTTCCTTCTTTCATGTGTTTCACAGCATGCCTACACAACCAAGTTATTGGAACCCATCAAAATTAGCCTAATGTATCGTTTCTATCTATTGTTTTACAACATAAACGGTCATGTGAATGTGTTGGAATACTTGGTGTTCCCATTTACTAAACGCTTCATGGGTCACTTTATTAAGTATATAATATTTATATACAACAAATAGAACAAGTAAACTCACACACCCTCCTCACCTTTGGTGAGGTTTGAACCCCTGACCTGCTAGGAGGCCAAAAACTCACGTACCGCTAGGCCAAAGGCCCTTTGGTGGGTCACTTTATCTTATTGGAAGAACATGACTACAATTGAGAATCTTACTTGCTAAGAGCGACAAGAAGGACAGAGAGTCTTACCTAATAAGTGAGAATGATGACTCTTACCGTTAAGCACTTACACGGATAAATTGTTGCATACTATGCCGTTTAATGGACTAAAATCTTACCCTGTGAGTTAAATGAAAGTGTTCACTTGTACTTGGGAAGCGTTGGGTACAAGACCCCTTAGTCAAACAAGGTAGCACCAAAGGAGTAGAAACAGAAGTTTAGGGCACTCCCAAATGGTTTTTGCATAGGCAACAATTACCTAAGGGTCCATTTACTAACACAAACTAGGTAAGATTCTCGGCCATCAAAATAACATAGTATAAGCATCTTTTACACTGTAAGCACTAATCGGGTAAGATTCTCGGTTAGTAAAATGACTGTTAAGCGTCTCTTATCCAGTAAGAGGCCGTAAGAATTTAGTAAACATCTCAAATCAACCAAATAGCATCTTAACAATCTTGAAATTCTATATATATATATATCCTTTGAAGTTTCCGTCTCCCTCCTGCGTGGGACTATGTTTCCAACCAAATCTTGAAACTCTGTTCATATTGTATTAAGATTCCACACTAATTTCAATTTATTTTACTTAAATTTTCTAATAAATAGTATAAGAAGAAAAGACGTCAGAAGATATCAGCCGGGTCAAAAGCCACTTCCAAAAGTGACATTTTGTCACTGACATCTAAATTTGAAACAAACTTATAGAGAACATGACACTTGATTGGGGAAAAAAGGACATACAACTATGAAAAATGTTTTGTCACAAAAATGTGTAGGTTTGAAATTGATTTTCTGTCAATGTTGGATTAATGTTAAGAGATGATAAACATACCTTGTCAAGAAGAAATGAGAGAAAATGTTGGTTCTAAACACCCTTTCAAGCCTCTCATCCGTGATATCCTCTAATGAGTTCGTCGCGTGCTGCTCAGCTGCATTGTTCACCAGGACATCGATGCGCCCGTATGTTCCAATGACCTCATCAACAACATTCTTACAATTCTTTTCGTACCCGAGATCAACAGGTATTGCAATTGGATTGCTTGAATCGCTCATTTTTGACTTATTTATGATCTCCAATGTATCCTCTGCATCTTTTTCCTCATAACCCTTCACATAAGTGAAGGCTACAGTTGCACCCTCCTTCGCAAAACAGTAGCAAACGGCCCTTCCAATGCCTGAGTCTCCTCCTGTCACCAAAGCCACCTTTCCCTGCACCAATTTTGTTGACCTTTTTAGAGAGAAAAGAAAAAAGGAAGGAGGATTTTAACCACGACCTTTAAATTACTATAACTTTCAGACTCGCATTTGCATATTTTACATTGTATATTCATCAATGAATATATTCATCAACGAATATACAATACACAGACAGGTTGATCGATAAATATACTATATTTTAGATACCATTTGGTTTATGTAATAGAAGGTTGAGAGTTTATTATGGAAGAATTGTCATTTCTTTCTTTTCGGTTCTTTTTCTTCTACATTTGAGAGGAAAGTCTTGGGAGGAAACATCTCACTTATTTAGGTATTTTTCCTCCTATTTCTTTCTTTTCGCTCCTAAAATGTTTAAGACCAAGTGTTCTTTTTTTGTTCTGTTTACTTAAAAAAAGCCAAAAAGGTGTCAAGAAAAGAAAGAAAAGATGTCAGTTTTACAAATATATTTTTACTTATTTTATAGTTGATTGTAATTTTTGGACATATGCGTAATAGATTCAAAGGAAACATATCACTTAATTTATCCGTCATAAATTCCTTTTATTTCCTTTCCATTCATTTCCCTCCCACACTTATAAAGGAAAGTTTTCAAAGGATATCAACATTATTTTCCTTATCTTTCCTTTCCTTTTTCCACCTTATAAAACTCGAGAACACAACATTTTTTCTTTTTCCATTTTTTCCTTCCCTCCGAAAAAATGACTCAAGAACACAATGTTTGAAGTTTGAATTGCTTGTGTTTTCACTTTTCAATCATTTCATTCAAAGAACCACGATTGTATTTTGTTAAATTTTGGTAGAAATACAAAAGGTTGCAAATTGTGTTTGATTTTTTGTTGGTATTTTCAATATTACAATTGTTTTAATCAAAGTGAGAACAATAATAGCTGATTCAAAGCATTAAGGTAGTGTTTAGTACGCATACATGATTGGACAAGACAGAACTGGGACAGGACAGAACTGGGATAGGACAGAACTGGGACAGGACAAGTGTATGTCTAGTGTTTGGTACGACTACGACTGGACAAGACAAAACTAGACAAGTTATCCCCAAAGTTATTTGATGATTTTAAATATTATTTAAAAATATAATAGTTATAATTAATTTATAAATATTTTTACACAATTTTCATATAAATGAATACATACATATATAATGGTACCAAATTTGAATGAAAAATTTGATATAATTGATGGTAGTATTTGTGGTGGAGGTGGTTTTGGTTACGGTTGACGTGGTGGTGGTGGTGGCCGACGGTAGTTGTGGCGATGAGCGGTGGTTATGGTTATGTTTGACGTGGTGGTGGTGGTGGCCGACGGTAGTT